GGTTTTTACTCGGCCCCTTCTTCATCTTCACCATCCTCGTCCTCCCCGTCCACCAGCAGGGCCGCGTATTTGCTGGCGTGGCTGAACTGGGGAGGGGAAACCGGGAATTAGGGAGGGAATTCCACGGGAAAATGGGATCTGAGGGGGAAAACGACACCCAGGGGGGCAAAAATCCCAAAATAGGGGGGCAGAAACCTTAAAAAAGGGTCAAAACTCCCCAAAAAACAGGTCAGAGACCCCCTGGATTTGCTGGTGTGGCTGAACTGGGGAGGGGAAAAACCGGGAATTAGGGAGGGAATTCCATGGGAAAATGGGATCTGAGGGGGAAAATGATGCCAAGGGGGGCAAAAATCCCCAAAATAGGGGGGTAGAGACCTCCAAAAAGGGTCAAATCCCCTCCTAAAAGGGGATCAGAGATCCCAAAAATGGGGCTCAGCCCCCTGGATGTGCTGGCGTGGCTGAACTGGGGAGAAAAACAGGGAATTAGGGAGGGAATTCTGGGAATTCCATGGGAAAATGGGATCTGAGGGGAAAACGACACCCAGAGGGACAAAAATCCCAAAAATAGGGGGCAGAAACCTCAAAAATGGGGTCAAACTCCCCCAAAAAACAGGTCAGAGACCCCCTGGATTTGCTGGTGTGGCTGAACTGGGGGGGGGAAAACCGGGAATTAGGGAGGGAATTCTGGGAATTCCACAGGGAAATGGGATTTGTGGGGAAAAATGATGCCCAGGGGGGCAAAAATCCCCAAATCAGGGGGACAGAGACCTCAAGAAAGGGTCATAACCCCCCCAAAAGGGGTCAGAGACCCCCAAAAAGGGTCTCTCTGGACTGGGGGGGGTTCCCACCCCCCATTTTGGGGTCCCAACCCCCATTTTGGGGTCCTCACCCCCCCTTTAAGGGTCCCTCCCCCTATTCTGGGGTTCCAGCCCCCCCAAATCCTTTTTGGGGGGGGGTCCATCACCCCCATTTAGGGCCCCCCCCCCCATTTTGGGGTCCCACTCCCCTATTTTAGGGTCTCACCCACCACTTGGGGGTCCCAGCCCCCCCCATTTAAGGGTTCCCCCTATTTTGTGGGTACTCTCCCCCTCCCATTTTGGGGTCCCACCCCTATTTTGGGTCCCACCCCCATTTTGGGGTCCCCTCCCCGTTTTGGGGTCCCCCCATTCTGGGGTCCCCCCCGTTTTGGGGTCCCCCCATTCTGGGGTCCCCCCGTTTTGGGGTCCCCCTCATTTTGGGGTGTCCCCCCATTTTGGGGTCCCACTCCCCATTTTGGGATCCCCCTCATTCTGGGGTCCCCCCCATTTTGGGATCCCACTCCCCTATTTTGGGGTCCCCTCTCATGTTGGGGTCCCCCCTATTTTGGGTCCCCCTCAAATGTTGGGATCCCACCCCAATTTGGGGTCCCCTCCCATTTTGGGGTCTCCACCCATTTAGGATCCCCCATTTTGGGGTCCCACCCCCCATTTGGGATCCCATCCCCCTTTTGGGTCCCCCTCCCATTCTGGGGTCCCCTCCCCATTTTGGGGTCCCCCTCCCCATTTTGGGAGTCCCCCCTATTTTGGGGTCCCACCCCCATTTTAGGGTCCCCCTCCCCATTTTGGGGTCCCCCTCACCGTCGGGGGTCTCCTCCAGTTTCTTTGGCTCGGGGGCCGGGGGTCGAGCTCCTTCCGCTCCCTCCTGGGAGGGCAAAGGTCAGGGGGGACCCCAAATCTTGGGGGGGGGTCACCTATTGGGGTCCTCCCAGGGGGTGGTTTGGGGGTGATTTTGGGGGTATTTGGGGTGCATTGGGGGGTTATTTTGGGTGTTATTTTGGGGTTATTTTGGGGGGTCTCTCTCACCTGTCGGGGTCCCCCCCCGGGGTGGTTTGGGGGGTGTTTGGGGGTCACTTTGGGGTTATTTGGGGTTTTTTGGGGGTCTCACCTGTCAGGATCCCCCCCAGGGGTTTATTTGGGGGTTATTTTGGGGCGCATTTGGAGAATATTTTGGGGGTTATTTGGGGTTATTTTGGGATGATTCAGGGGTTATTTCGGGGTTATTTTGGGGTGTATTTGGGGGTTATTTGGGATATATTTGGGGGTTATTTGGGGTGTATTTGGGGGTGATTCTGGGGTTATTTGGGGTGTATTTTTGGGGTTATTTGGGGTTATTTTGGGTGTATTTGGGGAGCTATTTTGGGGTGTATTTGGGGCGACTCTGGGGGTTATTTTGGGGTGTATTTGGGGGTTATTTTGGGGTGCATTTAGGGGTTATTTTGGGGGGTTTTGGGGACTTATTTTGGGGTGTATTTGGGGGTGTATTTTGGGGTTATTTGGGGTGATTTTGGGGTTATTTTGGGGTGTATTTTGGGGTTATTTGGGGGTTATTTGGGGTGTATTTTGGGGGTTATTTTGGGTGTATTTGGGAGCTATTTTGGGGTGTATTTGGGGGTGTATTTTGGGGGTTATTTGGGGTGTATTTTGGGGTTATTTTGGGTGTATTTGGGAGCTATTTTGGGGTTATTTGGGATTATTTTGGGGTATATTTAGGGGTGATTCTGGGGGTTATTTTGGGATTATTTGGGGTGTATTCAGGGGTGATTCTGGGGGTTATTTTGGGATTATTTGGGGTGATTTTGGGGGGTCTCACCTGTCGGGGTCCCCCCTGTGGGGGTGTATTTGGGAGTTATTTTGGGGTATATTTGGGGGTGTATTTTGGGGTGTATTTGGGGGTGATTCTGGGGGTTATTTCAGGGTTATTTAGGGTGTATTTGGGGTTGATTCTGGGGGTTATTTGAGGTGTATTTGGGGGTTATTTTGGGGTGTATTTGGGGGTGATTCTGGGGGTTATTTGGGGATTATCTGGGGGTTATTTTGGGTGTATTTGGGGTGATTTTGGGGGGTCTCACCTGTCGGGGTCCCCCCCGGGGGGGCCTCGGCTGCAGCTCCTCCCTTTGGAGCCGCCGTCCCTGCCCCCCTCCGGCTTCGGCTCCTCTGCTGGGACAGGGGGGGGTCACAGGGACACCCCAAACCTCACAGAGACCCCCAGAGCCCCCCCCAAACCTCATAGAGACCCCCAGAGCCCCCCAAAACACACACAGAGACCCCCAGAGCCCCCCCAAACCTCATAGAGACCCCCAGAGCCCCCCAAAACACACAAAGAGACCCCCAAACACACACAGAGACCCCAGAGCCCCCAAAACCACACAGAGCCCCCAAAACACACCAGAGATCCCCCAGAGCCCCCCAAACCTCCCTGAGCCCCCCAAAACACCCACAGAGCCCCCAAAACACACACAGACCCCAGAGCCCCCCAAACACACACAGACCCCCAGAGCCCCCCAAACACACAAAGAGACCCCAGAGGCCCCCAAACCTCACAGAGACCCCCAGACCTCACAGGAGACCCCAGAGCCCCCAAACCTCACAGAGACCCCCAAACCTCACAGAGACCCCAGAGCCCCCAAAACACACAGAGACCCCAGACCTCCTGAGGCCCCCAAAACCTCCCCAGACCCCCAAACCCCCAGAGACCCCCAAAACAGAGACCACCAGAGCCCCCAAAGACCTCCCTGAGCCCCCCAAAACACACACAGACCCCAGAACCCCACAGAGACCCCCAAACATCCCTGAGCCTCCTAAAACCTCCTGAGCCCCCAAAGACCCCCAAACACACACAGAGACCCCCAAGACCTCCTGAGCCCCCAGAACCCCAGAGACCCCAAAAACTCCTGACCCCCTGAATCCCCAGAGACACCCCAAATCCCCCTCAACCCCCAAATCCTCCCCAAACCCCCAAAGGCCCCTCAAGCAGCCCCCAATCCCTCCCAATCCCCCAAAACCTCCCCAAATCTCCCTGCCCTTCCCAAAACCCCTAAGCCCTCCCCAAATCCCCCCTCCCCGTGCCCCTCGCTCTCACCTCTCCTCTGGGGTCCGGGGGCTCCCTCATCCCCGGGGAGGGGGCCGGAGGAGAGCCCCCGCTGGGGAGAGGACAAAGAGGGGGAGGGGTCAGAGGGGATGGGATGGGGAACAGCCCGGAATGCTGGGAATGTTGGGATTGTTGGGAATGTTGAGGAAGAGCCTGGGGGTCCCAGAGCCGCTTTGAGGCTGGAAAAGCCCCCAGGCCCCCTCCCCAAATTCCCCCTCAGCATTCCAGGACACCCACCCGGTGGGGAGGGCTGTTCCCAGTGGGATCCCTGGGAACACTCAGGGGTCAGGGGCTGGAAAAGCCCCCAACACTCCCAATTCCCACCCCCCAGCATTCCCAGACACCCACCCTGTGGGGGAGGGGCTCCCATTGGGACAATCTGGAGCTGGAAAAGCCCCCCCAAGCCCCCCATTTTCCAATCCCATCATTCCCAAAAACCCACCCGGTGGGGGAGGGGCTCCTGGGAACACTCTGAGGGCTGAAAAGCCCCCAGTCCCCAATTTCCAATCCCATCATCCCAGGACACCCACCCGGTGGGGGAGGGGCTCCCTGGGAACACTCAGGGGTTGAAAAGCCCCCCCAAGACCCCCAATTTCCAATCCCCTCATCCCAGAACACCCACCCTGTGGGGGAGGGCTGCTCCAGGGGGGCTCCCTGGGATTGAGATCCCTGGGATTGGGCTCCCTGGGATTGGGCTCCAGAGGGGGGGTTGCTGCTCTGGCTCCTCCTCATCCAGGCGTTCTCCTTGGGGGGAGGGGCCGGGACCACCCTGGGCCTGTCCTGGTGGGATTTGGGGGGAGGGGGCGACTCTGGCTCCTCCTCCCTGCCCGCCCCCCCCAGGGGCTCGCTCTCCGAGCAGTTTTCCAGGGATTTCTCGGATTTCTCGCTCTCCCTCCGGCGCGTGCCTGCGGGGGGGGAGGGTCACAGTGGGTTTGGGGGGATTTTGGGGGGCTTGGGGGATTTTGGGGGTTTGGGGGGTTTTGGGTGCTCCCCATCCCCACCCCCACTCACTGCGGCCGGGGGGGCCCGAGGGGGGCCCGGGGGTTCCCCTGGGAGGATTCGCTGCCGGTCCGGGATCGATCCGGGGTGTCCTCGCTGCGCCAGCTGGGGTGTCTGAGGGACAGGGATGGGATATGGGGTGGGATGGGATGGGATGGGATGGGATGGGATGGGATTGATGGGATTGATGGGATGGGATTGATGGGATGGGATACAGGGATGGGATGGATGGGATAGGATGGGATGGGATTGATGGGATGGGATTGATGGGATGGGATACAGGGATGGGAGGGATGGGATGGGATGGATGGGATTGGGAATGATGGGATGGGATGGGATGGGATGGGAGGGGATGGGATTGATGGGATGGGATGGGATGGGATGGGATGGGATGGGATGGGATTGATGGGATGGGATACAGGGATGGGATGGGATGGATGGGATGGATGGGATGGGATTGATGGGATGGGATACAGGGATGGGATGGGATGGGGGATAACAGAATGGGGGATATTGGGATGGAGGATGATGGGATGAGAAGGATGATGGAAAAGGGGATAATGGAATGGATGGGATAAAGGATATTGGGATGAAGGGTATTGGGATGAGGGATGATGGGATAGGGAATATTCGGTGGGAGATATTGGGATGGGGGATGATGGGATGGAGGATATTGGGATGAGGGGGATGGTGGGAAAGGGCTGGGACAGCCCCGGCCCTCCCGAGGGAGCAGCAGCCGCTTTCCCACGGGGATCGTTCCCTGCCCATCCCACATTTCCAGAGGGACCATTCCCAGCCATTCCCAGCTCTCCTGAGGGAACAGCACCCTCCCCATCCCACCTTTCCCAAGGGATTCCCTGCCTATCCATCCCACCTTCCCTTTGGAACTCCCTGCCTATCCATCCCACCTTTCCTTTGGAATTCCCCACCTATCTATCCCTCCTTTCCTTTGGATTCCCTGCCCACCCATCCCACCTTTCCCAAGGGATTTCCTGCCTATCTATCCCTCCTTTCCTTTGGATTCCCTGCCCGTCCACCCCACCTTCCCTTTGGATTCCCTGCCTATCCATCCCTCCTTTCCTTTGGAATTCCCTGCCCGTCCACCCCACCTTCCCTTTGGAATTCCCTGCCTATCTATCCCTCCTTTCCTTTGGAATTCCCTGCCTATCCATCCCACCTTTCCCAAGGGATTCCCTGCCTATTCATCCCTCCTTTCCTTTGGAATTCCCTGGCTATCCACCCCTCCTTTCCTTTGGAATTCACTACCTATCCATCCCACCTTTCCCAAGGGATTCCCTGCCCATCCATCCCACGTTTCCTTTGGAATTCACTGCCTATCCATCCCACCTTTCCTTTGGAATTCCCCACCTATCTGTCCCACCTTTCCTTTGGAACTCCCTGCCCGTCCATCCCACCTTTCCTTTGGAATTCACTACTTATCCATCCCACTTTTTCAAGCATTCCCTGCTCACCCATCCCACTTTTCCTTTGGAATTCCCTGCCTATCCACCCCACCTTTCCCTGCACACCACCTCCCCTCCTGCTCCCCCTTTCCCAGGGGATCATTCCCATCCCATCCCATCCCATCCCATCCCATCCCATCCCATCCCATCCCATCCCATCCCATCCCATCCCATCCATCCCATCCCATCCCCATCCCATCCCATCCCATCCCATCCCATCCCATCCCATCAATCCCATCCCATCCCATCCCATCCCATCCCATCCCATCCCATCCCATCCCATCCCATCCCATCCCATCAATCCCATCCCATTCCCACCTCTCCCGGGGTCTCCTGTCGATCCTCTTGTCATCCTCCAGCTGCCTCTGGAGCTTCTCCTGCTCCTTCTGGAGCCTCTCCTCCACCTCCCTGTCCCGGGCCGCGGTGTCCACGGGCCGGGCGCCCCCGAAGATGGAGGCGCTGCGGGAAGAGGGGGCGGCCCCGGAATTCTCCTCCTCCCGGGGGGCGCTCCGGGGCTTCAGGTTCAGCTTCGGCCGCTGCGGGGGCCCTGCGGGAACGGGAGAGGATTCCATGGGGATGGGGCAGGGGATGGGAATAATTCACGGGAATATCCCACGGGAATGTCCCATGGGAATGGAGCAGGGAATGGAGCAGGGAATGGAGCATGGGAATGGAACATGGGAATGGAACATGGGAATGGAATATGGGAATGGAATATGGGAATGGAGCAGGGAATGGAGCATGGGAATGGAGCACGGGAATAATTCACAAGAATGGGATATGGGAATGGAGCAGGGGATGGGATATGGGAATGGAATATGGGAATGGAGCGTGGGAATGGAGCATGGGAATGAACATGGGAATGGAGCAGGGGATGGGACATGGGAATATAACGGGAATGGAGCAGGGGATGGAGCATGGGAATAATCCACGGGAATATCCCATGGGAATGGAGCGTGGGAATGGGACGTGGGAATGGAACATGGGAATAAACATGGGAATAGGACATGGGAATGGGACGTGGGAATGGGATGTGGGAATGGAATGTGGAAATGGAATATGGGAATGAACATGGGAATGAACACGGGAATGGAGCGTGGGAATGGAACATGGGAATGGAACATGGGAATGAATATGGGAATGGAACATGGGAATATCCCACGGGAATGGAACATGGGAATGGAATGGACATGGGAATGGAGCATGGGAATGAATGTGGGAATGGAACATGGGAACATCCCACCCCGGTGGATGGGAGGGGGTGGGCATGGATCGACACGGTGTTCCCAGAGGGATTGGCTGCTCCCCATCCCAGCTTTCCCTGGGAACCTTTCCCATCCCACCTCCTCCAAGAGCCTTTTCCTGAGGGATCATTCCCAGCTTTCCCTGGGAACCATTCCCACCCCATCCCATCCCATCCCACCTTTCCCAGGGATCATCCCCATCCCATCCCTCTTTCCCAGGGATCATCCCCATCCCATCCCACCTTTCCCAAGGGATCATTCCCACCCCATTCCCACCTTTCCCAAGGGATCATTCCCACCCCATCCCACCTTTCCCAAGGGATCATTCCCACCCCATTCCACCTTTCCCAAGGGATCATCCCCATCCCATCCCATCTTTCCCAAGGGATCATTCCCACCCATCCCACTTTTCCAGGGACCGTTCCCATCTCATTCCAAGCTCCCTGAGCAACAATTCCCAATGGATGCTCCCCGTTCCCGTGTCCCACCCCTGTCGTCCCTCCGGAAGTCGTCCCTGCCGAAGTCGTCCCTGGAGTTCCAGCGGTCCCCGCGCTCGTCCCGGCGCTCGTAGCGATCGTCGTAGCCGCGGAAATCGTCGTCCCTCCGGAACCCACTGCCGAAGGGTCTGCGGCCACCCCCCATCCGGGAGTCATACCCTGCAGGGACACACGGATACTGCAGGAATGGACCCGGGAATGGCACTGGGAATGGCCACCCCCCATCCGGGAGTCATACCCTGCGGGAATGGACATGGATACAGCGGGAATGGACATGGATACAGCGGGAATGGCACTGGGAATGGACATGGATACAGCGGGAATGGCACTGGGAACTGCCCCAGGAATGGCCGAAGGGTCTGCGGCCACCCCCCATCTGGGAGTCAAATCCTGCAGAACACCGGGATACAGCGGGAATGGCACTGGGAATGGCCCTGGATACAGCGGGAACGGCCCTGGGAATGGCTGGGAATGGTGGGAACGGCCCCGGATACAGCAGGAACAGCCCCAGGAACGGTGCCAGAGACAGCGGGAACAGCCCCGGGAACAGCGGGAATGGCCGGGAATGGTGCCCAGTAGGGGATCTCGGGGCGTGGGGGACTCGTTCCCGCTCTTTCCAACCCTGGAATTCCCTGGGAATGTCTCATTCCCCTCCTTTGGAAAGTACCATTCCTGCTCTTTTCACCCCTAGAATTCCCTTGGGAATGTCTTGTTCCTGCTCTTTCAAACCCCAGAATTCCTTTGGGAATGTCTTGTTCCTGCTCTTTCAACCCCTGGAATTCCTTTGGGAATGTCTCTTTCCCGCCTTGGGAATGTCACATTCCCGCTCTCTCCACCTCTCAACTCCTTTGGGAATGTCTCGTTCCTGCTCCTTCCACCCTGGAATTCCCTGGGAATGTCTCATTCCCACTCTCTCACCCCCAGAATTCCCTTGGAAATATCCCGTTCCTGCTCTCTCCATCCCCAGAACTCCTTTGGGAATGTCCCACTCCTGCTCCTTCCACACTGGAATTCCCTGGGAATGTCCCGTTCCTGCCCTTTCCAGCCCTGGAACTTCTTTGGGAATGTCTCATTCTCTGGAATTCCCGTCAGGAATGTCCTGTTTCCCCTCTTTCCACCCTTGGATTTCCCATGGAATTCCCGGCGTTCCCTCCCTCACCCCGCTCGTAGTCCCTGCTCCGATCGTCGTAGCGGTCGCGGCTCCCGAATCCACGATCCAGGTCCCGCCGCGGCCCCTCCCGGAACCGATCGTCGTAACGGTCCCGGTACCCTGCGGAAACAGGGAATGGGGTGGGAATGGGAATGGGGGGCATGGGATGGGAATGGGGGCACGGGATGGGGGTGATGGGATGGGAATGGGAACCTCGTGAAGGAGCTCCGGGTGGGAACGAACTCTGGGAATGAACAAGCTCTGGGTGGGAACAAACGAGCTCCAGGTGGGAATGAAGGAGCTCCAGGTGGGAATGAAGGAGCTCCAGGAAGGAATAAATGACCCCTGTGTGGGAATGAAGGAGCTCCAGGTGGGACTCAACGAGCTCCAGGTGGGAATGAAGGAGCTCCAGGTGGGAATGAGCTCATGGAATGAAGGAGCTCCAGGTGGGAATGCATTCTGGGAATGAAGGAGCCCCAGGTGGGAATGAGGGAGCTCCAGGTGGGAATGAAGGAGCTCCAGGTGGGAATGAAGGAGCTCCAGGTGGCTCCTGACCCAGCTCCCAGGACAGGCCACATTCCCAGGATCCCAGAGGGGCTCCATCCCTGTGGGATCCCAGGGGAGGCTCCATCCCCAGTGTCCCTCCCTGTCCCCTCCCTCCCCCAGTGTCACTGACTGTCCCCGAAGGCATCGTCTCCAGTGTCCCTGACTGTCCCCAGTGTCACTCCCCAGTGTCCCCAGGGCTGTCCCCAGTGTCACTGACTGTCCCCAGTGTCACCAATGTCCCCCTGGTGTCACTGACTGTCCCCATTGTCCCCAGCATCCCCAGTGTCACTGACTGTCCCCAGAGTCCCCCTAGTGTCACTGACTGTCCCCAGTGTCCCTGGTGTCACTGACTGTCCCCAGTGTCCCCCCAGTGTCACTGACTGTCCCCAGCATCCCCAGTGTCCCTGACTGTCCCCAATGTCACTGACTGTCCCCAGCGTCCCTGACTGTCCCTGACTGTCCCCAATGTCCCCAGTGTCACTGACTGTCCCCAAGGCATCCCCAGTGTCACTGACTGTCCCCAGTGTCCCTCCCTGTCCCCAATGTCCCCCTGGTGTCACTGACTGTCCCCAGTGTCCCCCCAGTGTCACTGACTGTCCCCAGAGTCCCCCTGGTGTCACTGACTGTCCCCAGTGTCCCCCCAGTGTCACTGACTGTCCCCAGCATCCCCAGTGTCCCTGACTGTCCCCAATGTCACTGACTGTCCCCAGCATCCCCCCAGTGTCACTGACTGTCCCCAATGTCCCCTGGTGTCCCTGACTGTCCCCAATGTCCCCTGGTGTCCCTGACTGTCCCCAGCATCCCCCCAGTGTCACTGACTGTCCCCAGTGTCCCCTGGTGTCCTGTCCCCAATGTCCCCCAGTGTCACTGACTGTCCCAGCGTCGTCCCGCCAGGAGGTCGTGAAGGTGTCATCCCCAGTGTCCCCAGCATCCCCCAGTGTCCCCAATGTCCCCCAGTGTCACTGACTGTCCCCAGTGTCCCCAGCATCCCCCAGTGTCACTGACTGTCCCCAATGTCCCCAGTGTCCCCCAGTGTCACTGACTGTCCCCAGGGTGTCCCCAGGGTGTCCCTGACTGTCCCCCAGTGTCCCGAGTGTCCCCAGAGTCCCCCCAGTGTCACTGACTGTCCCCGAAGGCGTCGTCCCCGCGCCGGGGGGGGAGGTTGTCGAAGGCGTCGGGCGCGGCCGGCCGGGCCCTCCAATCGCTGTCCAAGCGCTCCGAGTCCCGGAAACGATCCCGGTCCCGCCCGAAACAGCGATCGTCACGGTCTGGGAGACACGGAATGGGAATGGAGAGGGAAAGGGACAGGGAACAGTGAGGGAATGGTGAGGGAATGGAGAGGGAACGGGAGAGGGAAAGGGAGAGGGAACGGTGAGGGAAAGGGAAAGGGACAGGGAATGGTGAGGGAAAAGAGAGAGGGAAAAGGGAGAGGGAAAAGGAAATGGAGAGGGAAAATGGAGAGAAAAAAGGGAGAGGGAATGGTGAGGGAAAGGGACAGGGAAAAAGATGTGGAGAGAGAAAGGGAGAGGGAAAAAGAAATGGAGAGGAAAAAGAGAGAGGGAAAAGGAAATGGAGAGGGAAAAGAGAGGGGAAAAGGAAATGGAGAGGTAAAAGAGAGAGGGAAAAGGAAATGGAGAGGGAAAAAGGAGAGGGAAAAGGAAATGGAGAGGGAAAAGAGGGAGGGAAAGGGAGACGGAAAAGGAAATGGAGAGGGAAAAGGGAGAGGGAAAATGGAGAGGAAAGAGAGAGGAAAAAGGAAATGGAAAGGGAAAAGGAGAGGGAAAAGGAAGAAGAAAAAGGGAGAAGGAAAAAAGGAATGGAGAGGGAAAAGGAGAGAGAAAAGGGAGAGGGAATAGTGAGGGAAAGGGACAGGGAAAAGGAACAGGGAAAGAAAAGGCAGAGGGAAAAGGGAGAGGGAAAAAGAAATGGAGAGGGAAAAGGAGAAGGAATAGTGAGGGAAAGGGACAAGGGAAAGGAAATGAAGAGGGAAAGGGAGAGGGAATGGTGAAGGAAAGGGAGATAGAAAAGGGAGAGGGAAAGAGAGAGGGAAAGAGTAAACGGAGAGAGAAAAGGAAATGGAGAGGAAAAAGAAAGAGGGAAAAGGAAAGGGAAAAGGAAAGGGAGAGGGAAAAGGAGAGGGAAAAGGGAGAGGGAATGGTGAGGGAAGAGGGGGAAGGGAGAAGGAGGGAAGGGAAAGGGGAAGAGGGAAAGAGGAAAAGAGAAAATGAAAAAGGGAAGGAAAGAAAGGGAAAAATAAAAGAAAAAGGAAAGAGAAAAGAAAAAGGAAAGGAAAATGAAAGGGAGAAAGAGTAGGAAAAAGAAAGACAAAAGGAGAGAAAAAGAGAAGGGAGAACAAAAGGGACAGAAGAGAGAAGGGAACAAGAATAAAGGGAAAAAGGGAAAAAAGGGAAAAGGAATAAAAAGGCAAAGGGTCAGGGCAGGGGCAACCCCAACCCCATCCCCAAATCCCATCCTCGATCCTCATTCCTCACTTCCCTTCCTTCCCTTCCTTCAGCCTTCCCTTCCTTCCCTTCCTTCCCTTCACCTTCGCTTCCATTCCTTGCCAAACCTTCCCAAACCTTCCCAAACCTTCCCAAACCTTCCCAATCCCAATGCTCACCTTTATCCTGAGCTTGATCCGCCACATCCACTCGTATCCTTCTGTTTCCTAAGGACTGGGAATGGCAGGGGGCCGGGAATGGGCCGGGAATTCCTTCCCAACATCCCCCCAGACCCTCCCCCCTCCCACTGGGAGCCATTCCCTCTTTTCCTGCCACTCCTGGGAGTCCCTCCAGGGATGGGATTTACTGGGATGGGAACCCCCAGGGATGGGATGGGATGGGATTTCCTGGGATAGGATCCCCCAGGATGGGATTTACTGGGATGGGACTCACTGGGATTCTCCAGGCTGGGATTCCCAGGGATGGGGTTCCCAGGAATAGGATGGAATTCCAGGGATGGGTTGGGATTTCCCAGGGCTGGGACCACCAGGGATGGGCTGGGATTGCCTGGGCTGGGCTGGAACTCCCTGGGATGGGATTGCAGGGATAGGCTGGGATTCTCAGGATGCCTGGGCTGGGCTGGGACTCCCTGGGATGGGATTCCTGGGATGGGCTGGGATTCCAGGGATGGGATTCCAGGGATGGGCTGGGATTCCAGCAGGATGGGGATGGATGGGATGGGATGGGATCCCTAGGCTGGGATGGGATTCGACTCCCTGGGATGGGTTGGGATTCCAGGGATGGGCTGGGATTCCCCAGGATGGGATGGGATTCCCTGGAATGGGATGGGATGGGATGGGATCGGATGGGATGGGATGGGATGGGATGGGATGGGATGGGATGGGATGGGATGGAATGGGATGGGATGGGATGGGATGGGATGGGAGGGGATGGGATGGGATAGGATGGGAGGGGATGGATGGGATGGGATGGGATGGGATGGGATGGGATGGAATGGGATGGAAAGGGATGGGAGGGGATTCCAGGGATGGGATGGGATTCCAGGGATGGGATGGGATTCCAGGGATGGGCTGGGATTCCCCAGGATGGGATGGGTTTGGATTCCAGGAATGGGTTGGGATTCCCCAGGATGGGCTGGGATTCCAGGGATGAGCTGGGATTCCCGGGACGGGATGGGATGGGATGGGATGGGCTGAGATTCCCCAGGCTGGGGTTCCTTGGGTTGGGCTGGGATTTTCCAGGCTGGGCTGGGATTTTCCAGGCTGGGCTGGGATTTTCCAGGCTGGGCTGGGATTCCAGGGCTGGGCTGGGCTTGGGATTCCTTGGAATGGGCTGGGATTCCCAGGTCTCACCTCCTCGTTGAGGCTCAGGGCCTGGAACAGGGAGTCGATGTCCTCGAACTCGGCGTAGCCGAAGCCTTTCAAGCGCTCGGGGTTGGTCGGTTCCCGAGGCAGCCGCACCGCGCTGATCTGGGAACGGGAACAGGGAATGGGAGTGACACCCAGGGAATGGGAATGCTGGGATACAGCTGGGAATGCTCCCCAGGGAATGGGAATGCTGGGACACACCTGGGAATGACACCCAGGGAATGGGAATGCTGGGACACAGCTGGGAATGTTGGGACACAGCTGGGAATGACACCCAGGGAATGGGAATGCCACTCCAGGGAGCAGGGAATGCCAAGACACAGCTGGGAATGCTCCCCAAGGAATGGGAATGCTGAGCCCAAAGCTGGGAATGCTCAGACAGGGGCTGGGAATGCTCCCCAAGGAATGGGAATGACTGAGCTCCAGGGCTGGAATGCTCAAGGAATGGGAATGACCTCCAGGCTGGGATGCCACCAGGGGCTGGGAATGCTGGCAGCTCCAGGGGAGCATGGGAATGCCACTCCAGGGGCTGGGAATGCTCAGACAGGGGCTGGGAATGCTCAGACAGGGGCTGGGAATGCTGAGCCAGGGCTGGGAATGCTGAGCCCAGAGCTGGGAATTCTACTCCAGGAGCTGGGAATGCTGAGCCCAGAGCTGGGAATTCTGCTCCAGGAGCTGGGAATGCCGCCTCAGGGAGCAGGGAATGCCACCCAGGGACTGAGAATGCCACCCCAGGGGCTGGGAATGCCACTCCAGGGGCTGGGAATGCATCAGGCTGAGAATCCACTCAGGGGCTGGGAATGCATCACATAAGCTCCAGGAGCTGGGAGTGGTGCTGGGATTCACTGGGATGGGATTCACTGGGATGGGAATCCGTGATTCCCTCGGGATCAACCCCCAGCCCCCCCAGATCCGAGGGGGCGGATCCGGCACCGAATCCCCGCTGTCGTTCCCAGCCTGCGGAGCGCGACTCACGTTGAGGCCCCGGAAGAAATCCTTGATGGAGTCCTCGGTGACGTCGTAGGGGAGGTTCCCCAGGAAGGCCGTGTACGGGGGGGACTTGGGCAGGCGGCTCCTGTCGATGTTGGGCTCGCGGGCGGCGCGCGGCGCCGTGGGCAGCAGCGAGCGGTCGATCGGCGGCGCCCGGTACACGTCGTCGTCGTTGCTGTGCCACGTGGTGGAGGCTGCGGGGAACGGGCAGAGGTGACGGGGGGGATGGTATGGGGGGTGGGGGGAGACTGGAGTCAATCAGAGTCAACTGGGGTCAATCAGAGTCAACTGGAGTCAACCAGAGTCAACTGGGGTCAACCAGAGTCAACTGGAGTCAATCAGAGTCAACTGGAGGCAATCAGAGTCAACTGGAGTCAACCAGAGTCAACTGGAGGCAAGCAGAGTCAACTGGGGTCAATCAGAGTCAACTGGAGTCAATCAGAGTCAACTGGGGTGATCTGGAGGTGACTGGGGTCAACCGGAGTCAACTGGAGTCAACCAGAGTCAACTGGAGTCAACCAGAGTCAACTGGGGTCAACCAGAGTCAACTGGAGTCAACCAGAGTCAACTGGGGTCAACCAGAGTCAACTGGAGTCAATCAGAGTCAAATGGGGTCATTTGGAGTCAACCAGAATCAACTAGAACAAACTGGGTTAACTGGAGCCAGTCAGAGTTAATGAGTCAACTGGGTCAACTGGGTCAACTGGAATCATCTGGAATCAACCGGAGTCAACCGGAGTCACCAAATCATCCCCAAACCCAACCAGAGACATCCAGAGTCAGCTGGAACCCGCTGGAGGCTCCCAAAGGCAACTGGGTCAACTGGAGACAACTGGAACCAACTGGGTTAACTGGAGACAACTGGAACCAACTGGGTCAACTGGAGACAACTGGAACCAACTGGGTCAACTGGAGACAACTGGAACCAACTGGGTTAACTGGAGTCAACTGGAACCAACTGGGTCAACTGGAGACAACTGGAACCAACTGGGACAACTGGAGTTGACTGGAACCAACTGGGTCAACTGGAGCCAACTGGAATAACTGGGACAACTGGAGCCAACTGGAATCAGCTGGGTTAACTGGAGTCAACTGGGACCAACTGGGTCAGCTGGAGTCAACTGGAACCAGCTGGGTCAGCTGGGTCGACTGGAACTAAATGGGTCAACTGGAGTCAGACTGGAACCAGCTGGGACAACTGGAGTTGATTGGAACTGTGTCAGCTGGGCTGACTGGAACCAACTGGGTCAACTGGAGTCGACTGGAACTAACTGGGTCAACTGGAGACAACTGGAACCAACTGGGTTAACTGGAGTCAACTGGAACCAACCAGGACAACTGGAGTTGACTGGAACCAACTGGGTCCACTGGAGTCAACTGGAACCAACTGGGTCAACTGGAGTCGACTGGAACTAACTGGGTCAACTGGAGTTGACTGGAACCAACTGGGTCAACTGGAGTTAGTTGGAACTGTGTCAACTGGAGACAACTGGAACCAACTGGGTCAACTGGAGTCGACTGGAACTAACTGGGTCAACTGGAGTCAACTGGAACCAACTGGGTCAACTGGAGTTAGTTGGAACTGTGTCAACTGGAGTTGACTGGAACCAACTGGGTTAACTGGAACCAACTGGGTTAACTGGAGTCAACTGGAACCAACTGGGTTAACTGGAACCAACTGGATTAACTGGAGTCAACTGGAACAACTGGGTCAACTGGAACCAACTGGGTCAACCGGAGTCAGCAAATCATCCCAAAAATTCACCCCTCTGGAGTCCCCCAGAGCCAACCACAAATCTGACACCGACTGGCACTCGAGGGGCTGGGAATGCCGATCCCAGAGTCAGGAATGCCGATCTGGGAGCCGGGAATGCCGATCTGGGAGCTGGGAATGCCAATCCCAGAGTCGGGAATGTTGATCCTAGAGTCAGGAATGTCGGTCTAGGAGCTGGGAATGCCGATCCCAGAGCCGGGAATGCCAATCCCAGCCCAAGAAATGCCAATCTCAGAGTCGGGAATGGCACTCTGGGAGCTGGAAATGCCAAACTGGGAGGGTGGAATGGCTGGGAATGGCACTCTGGGAGCTGGGAATGCTGATCTGGGAATGCCTCTCCCATGCCCAGGAACAGCACTCCCATCCCAGGAATGCCGTTCTGGCCATTCCCATCTCCAGGAACACCATTCCCACCCTGGGACTGCTGTTCCCATCCCAGGAATGCCGATTTGGGAGCCAGGAGTGTTGTTCCCACCCATGGAATGCTGTTCCCACCCCCAGGAATGCTGTTCCCATCCTGGGAATGCCGTTCCCATTGCTGGGACTGCCCATTCCCATCCCCTGGAACACCATTCCCATCCCCAGGAATGCCATTCCCAATATCCCAGAATGCCGTTCCCATCCCCAGGAATTCTGTTCCCACTATCCTGGACTGCTATTCCCACTATATTGGACTGCTGTTCCCACCCTGGACTGCCATTCCCATTATCCCAGAATGCCATTCCCACCATCCCGGACTGCCATTCCCACCTTCCCATCCTGGGAATGCCGCTCCCATGTTCCCACTATCTCGGAATGCCATTCCCATGTTCCCACTATCCTGGAATGCTGTTCCCATTTCCCATCCCTGGACTGCCATTCCCATATTCCCAATTTGCCAGGAATGCCATTCCCACGTTCCCACTATCCCGGGAATGCTGTTCCCACTATCCCAGAATCCTATTCATAATCTCCTGGAATGCCGTTCCCACTGTCCTGGGAACACTGTTCCCATCCCAGTCTGCCGTTCCCACATTCCCACTCTCCTGGAATGCCGTTCCCATCCCAGACTGCCGTTCCCATGTTCCCAATCTCCTGGAATGCCGTTCCCATCCCGGAATGCCGTTCCCACGTTCCCAATCTCCCGGAATGCCGTTCCCACGTTCCCAGTCTCCTGGAATGCCGTTCCCATCCTGGGAATGCCATTCCCACATTCTCAATCTCTCGGGAATGCCGTTCCCATCCCAGACTGCCGTTCCCACGCTCCCAGTCTCCCAGGACTGCCATTCCCATCCCAGACTGCCGTTCCCACGTTCCCAGTCTCCTGGAACACCATTCCCATCCCAGTCTGCTGTTCCCACATTCCCACTCTCCTGGAACACTATTCCCATCCCAGTCTGCTGTTCCCACATTCCCACTCTCCTGGAACACTATTCCCATCCCAGTCTGCCGTTCCCACGCTCCCAATCTCCCGGAATGCCATTCCCATCCCGGGAATGCCGTTGTCACGTTCCCACTCTCCTGGGAATGCCGCTCCCACCCCCGCTCACCGTCCAGGTCGTCGGTCTCGTCGGCCCAGCTGACGGGTTTGGGGATGAAGGTGGGGCCGCCCCCGCCCCCCCCGTCCTCGGCCAGGAAATCCGTCAGGGTCAGGGTCTTGCCCTTCTTGGGCTTCTTCTTCGCCGCCGCTGCCAACGGGGACGGGAACGGCCGTTAGAGACGTGGGATGGGAATGGGGGTTTGAGATGTGGGAACGGGAATGGGAACGAGAGTTAGAGACGTGGGAATGGGAATGGGAATGGGAATGGGGGGTAGAGATGTGGGAATGGGAATGGGGGTTAGAGACGTGGGAATGGGAATGGGAACGAGAGTTAGAGACCAGGGAATGGGAATGGGAATGGGAACAGCGGTTAGAGATGTGGGATGGGAATGGGAATGAGAGATAGAGATGTGGGAATGGGAATGGGGGTTAGAGATGTGGGATGGGAATGGGAATGGGGGTTAGAGACGTGGGATGGGAATGGGGGGTAGAGACCTGGGATGGGAATGGGGGTTAGAGACATGGGATGGGAATGGGAATGGGGGTAGAGACGTGGGAATGGGAATGGGGGGTAGAGATGTGGGAACGGGAATGGGGGGTAGAGACGTGGGAATGGGAACGAGAGTTAGAGACCAGGGAATGGGAATGGGGGTTAGAGATGTGGGAACGGGAACGGCCACGAGAGTTAGAGATGTGGGAATGGGAATGGGGGGTAGAGATGTGGGAATGGGAATGGGAACGAGAGTTAGAGATGTGGGAATGGGAACAGGGGTTAGAGACCAGGGAATGGGAACGGGAATGAGAGTTAGAGACCGTGGGATGGGAATGGGAACAGGGGTTAGAGAGGAGGACATGGGAATGGGGGTTAGGGACATGGGAATGGGAATGGGGGTTAGGGACATGGGAATGGGGGTTAGAGACATGGGAATGGGGGTTAGGGACATGGGAATGGGGGTTAGAGACATGGGAATGGGGGTTAGGGACATGGGAATGGGGGTTAGAGACATGGGATGGGAATGGGAATGGGGGTTAGAGACATGGGAATGGGAATGGAGGTTAGGGACATGGGAATGGGAATGGAGGTTAGGGACATGGGAATGGGGGTTTGAGACATGGGAATGGGGGTTAGGGACATGGGAATGGAGGTTAGGGACATGGGAATGGGGGTTAGGGACATGGGAATGGAGGTTAGGGACATGGGAATGGGGGTTAGGGACATGGGAATGGGGGTTTGAGACGTGGGAATGGGGGTTTGAGACATGGGAATGGGGGTTAGGGACATGGGAATGGGAATGGGGGTTAGGGACATGGGAATGGGGGTTAGAGATGTGGGAATGGGGGTTAGGGACATGGGAATGGGGGTTAGGGACATGGGAATGGGGGTTAGGGACATGGGAATGGGGGTTTGAGACCATGGGAGCAACAACGTGGATTAGAGACCAGGGAATGGGAATGGGAGAGAGAAAGGGAATGGGAACAGCAGCTGGGAATGGGAAGAGGAGAAGGAATGGGAGAGGGACAGAGTTACACTGGGAATGGGAATGGAGAGGGTTTAGACTGGGAGGGGGGGAGAGGGAATGGGAATAGTAACAAGAATGGGAATGGGTGAGGGGTTAGAGTGGGAATGGGAATGGAATGGGAATAGGAGAGGGTTAGACCGGGAATGGGAGAGATGGGTTAGAGCAGGAATGGGATGGGAATGGGCTTAGAGTAGGACTAGGAATGGGATTGGAGAGGGAATGGGAATGAGAGGGCAGAGGGCTCAGAAAAGGATTGGGAATGGAGAGGGAATGGGAGAAAGGGAATGGGAATGAGAGGGCAGAGGGGTCAGAAAAGGATTGGGAATGGAGAGGGAATGGGAGAAAGGGAATGGGAATGAGAGGGCAGAGGGGTTAGGGTAGGACTGGGAATGGGGAGGGAATGGGAGAGGGTTAGAGTGGGACTGGGAATGGGATCTGAGAGGGAATGGGAGAGGGGTCGGGCAGGGAATGGGATTGGAGAGGATGGGAGAGGGAACAGAGAAGGGATGGGAGAGGGAATGGGGGGGATGAGAGGAGGGATGGGAGGGGGGTGGGGACATGGAGGGGACTGGGACACTGGGATGGGACAGGGAACACTGGGATGGGACAGTGGGATGGGCCATGGGGTGCCAAGAGGGCAAATGGGGCACTGGGACAGGACAGGAAGCGGGACAGGAGGGGACAGGAAGCACCAGAATGGGACAGGATGCACTGGGAGGGGACAGGAGGGGACAGGAGATGGGACACAGACACTGGGAGGGGACAGGAGCCACCAGGAGGGGACAGGAAGGGACAGGAGGCACCACCACCAACCCTGCCCTGTTCCATTTTATCCCCTGTTTCCAATGGGAATCCCCCTCATCCCATCCCATCCCGGGGTGGGGGGAGCAGCTCCCGCTCCACAATTCCCGAGGTTTCCTCCACAATTCCCGAGGTTTCCTCCACAATTCCCGAGGTTTCCTCCACAATTCCCGAGGTTTCTCCGCAATGGAGGTTCCTCCACAGTCCCGGGTTCCGGCAGAGCCCCAGCCCCGCCACCCCAGGATCCAAACTCCGCCTTTTCCAGGGAAAATCCTTCCGGGTGGAGCCGGGAATGGGGGCTGGGAACACCCCCGAGCCCCCCAGCAGGAATTTGGGGGGTTAATTCCGCTCCCGGGGGAAAAGGGGGAAGGGAAAACCGATGGATTTGAAGGATGGGACAGGGAAAGGCTTGGGAAAAACATTCCCTTTTTTTTATTTCTTTTTTTAAGGGAGAAATGAGGAATTTTTGGGGTGGTTGGAGCTTCCCGGGAGGGGGGGGGGTGGGGATTTTTAACCCTCGGCTGGGAGTGGGATAATTAATGAGTTAATAATTAATTAATTAATTAATTAACAGATGAACCTTAACCAGGGTGAAAGGGCTGGAGGTGGGATGGGCCTGGAAGGGGGATATTCCATGGAAATCCCGCAGGGATTCAACAACCCCGTGGGAATTTGATGGGGGAGGGAAAACCCTCCAGCCCCCCAAAATCTTCCTCCTCTGCTCCCCCTTTTCCCCTCCCCTCCCAAACTGGGATTTTTGGGAATCCTGTGGGATCCATCCCTTGGAGGCGGGGGGGAACCAGTCCAGGATCCCCCTGGGAATGAGGGAGGGGAGCACTTGGGGCCTCTGGAAAACCGGGATAACTCCTGGATGAGGGTGGGAAACACCTGACCTTGGGGGGGATCAAATCACCACATTTGGGGGCTCTGGGGGGGTCAAATCCCACCCCCCCCATTACTGACCATTGAGGGGGGCTGGGAGGGGTTAAATCCCCCCATTTGGGGGTCTGGGAAGGGGTCAAATCCCCCCATCTGGGGGCTCTAAGGGGGGGTCAAATCCTCTCCTTTAGGAGCTGGGGGGGGTCCAATCACCCCCCATGACTGACCATTGTGCCCCCCCCCCTCCAAAACCGAGCCCAAGGACCCTCAAGGACACCTGGGGGGGGTTGTTCTGCTCCAACCCTTGGTGTGGGGTGTTGATTTTTTTTTGGGGGGAGAAGGATTTGGGGGGGGGAGAGAAGGATTTTTGGGGGGTGTCTTACCCTCCCCTCCCCCTCCCCAAAATTCCGTGACAGTTTGGCCCCGGCCTCTCCCCCAAAAAGTGGGGCCACGTAGGCGCCCCCTTCGCGCACGCGCAGAGCACTGCCCGGCGCGCCCCGTCAATCACCGGCCCCCAACCAATGGGAGGCCGCGATGGGGGGAAGGGGACACGTGGAGGGACACGCACCCGTCAATCAAGGGCCGCGCGCGCCCTTCGGCAATGGGAGGCCGCGCTCGGGAGGACACGTCAATCAAAGGGCGCGCGCCCCCTCGACCAATGGGAGGCGGCGGAGCAGGAAACGGGAGGGAAAGGGGGGAAGAGGGAAGGTGGGAGGCCCGCCCTGAGGGGACGCGCTGAGGGACAGGACGGGAAGGGAAGAGGGGGTCGGTTTTGCCGCCGCTCCCCCGTTTATCGCACCGCCGCCCCCGAAGCTCCGGCAGCAGGCGCGGCAGGGCCCGCAGAGGCGGCGGGGCCGCGGCAGGGGCGGCGCGGGGGCGCGGCGGGCCCGGCGGGCGGCAGGGGGCGCGGGCCGCGGCGCTGCGCTCACCTGGGGCCGCCATGTTGGGACAGAGGCAGAGCAGGCAAAGGGCCCGGATGGACGGGGCACGTGACCACGGCGGCGCCCCGGGGCAGGGCCACGGCACAGGGGCAGGGCTACGGCCGGAGGGGGCGGGGCCAGGGAGGGCACTCCGTGTTTGGCGGCGCCGCCCGCGCCGGATTTGGGGGACAGAGGACCCCAAATAGGGACCCCTCGGGGCCGGGACCTCCGGCACTGAGACCCCCACAGGGACCTCCGAGCATTGACATCCTCCATACCGGGACCCCTTGGAGCCAGGACCCCTCGGGCACCGCGACTCCCACAGGGACCCCCGGGCATTGACGTCCTCCATACCGGGACCCCCGGGAACGCCCCCACCGGGGACCCCCGGGGCGGTGACATCGCCTCCCCAACTCCAGCAGGGGTGAAAGGAACCCCTGGAACCGGGACCCCCAGGCAATGACACCCCCCGGCACCAGGATCGCACCTCCGGGACCCCCGGGACCTCCCGGCACTGATACCCACCCCCCCCAGTCCCCCAGGAACCGGGACCCCCCGGCACTGAGGGCCCGTGGGACCCTGGCACTTGGATCCCCCACAGCAAGACTCCCCCCACCGGGACCTCCCCGAGCACTGAGACCCCCGGCACCAAGACACTCCCCCGGGACACCAGGACCCTCTGGAACCAGGACCCTCCCAGGGACCCCTGAGACCCCCAGGATCCCTGGGCACTGATACCGCTGACCCCTGGGACATCAGAGACCCCCTTCTGGACCCTGCCGGGCTCTGACACTCCCAAAGGACCCTTTAGGGACCCCTGGGAACTTGAGCTCCCACATCGGGACCACCCCCTTGCCCCCGAAACCCGGGACCTCCTGGCAGTGGGACCACCCCCCGCCCCCGGCATCCGACACTGGGACCCCCTGCACCGACACCCTGGGACCCCCACCCTGGGACCCCCTAGGGCACTGACCCCAGGCATGGCCATGGGACCCCCTCCGTGTTCCACCCTCCCGTGCCCCCGGGAGCTGGGTGGGATCGATCCCGAGCAGGGGGATCCCTTGGGTTCCAATGCTTGGGGTCGCACAGTTTGGGGGTGTCGATGCCGCTCCCGGCACCCCAAAATGGGGGTGGGGTGGGTAGGGGTGTCCGGGGGCACAGAGATGGGAACAGGGATGGGAACAGAGATTGGGGGTCCCACCCATCCATCCCCCCCCCACCTCAACCCCCTCAAAGGACACGCGAGACCCCGTCCCCAGTGCTGGGGGTCCCGGGGAGTCCCCACTTTATTAGCTCGGGGGCTCCCCGCGGCTCGGGGGTCGGGGGTCTCAAACCCCAAACCCCCCAGTAGGTCCCGGATCTTCACTCGTGGGTGGTCTCGGTGAGCACGCGCTGGTGGTCCTGGTCCCCATCCCGGTCCCGGTCCCCGTCCCTGTCCCCGTCCCCATCCCCGTCCCTGTCCCCGTCCCCGTCCCGGTCCCCGCCGTGCTCTCCCCTCGTTCTCCTCGTCCAGCGCGTCCCTCAGGCTGGGGGAGGGGAGGGGAGGGGTTCAGTGGGAGGGAGCACCCCAGGGTCCTCGAGTGTCCCCCGAGGGTCCCCGAGTGTCCCCCTCCCCCGGGGTTGTCCCCTCTGGGTTTCCCAATTTCCACCCCCTCACCTGAACCTCCCCTCACCTGAACACCACCCTCTTACTGACCCTCTCCTCACCTCCTCCCCCGACCCCCCAACCTGAACTCCCACCCCCTCACCTGAAAGCCCTCCTCACCTTCCCTTCCCCTCCCCGAATTCCGTCCCTCCTCACCTTCCCCTCCCTCACCTGACCCTCCCTCACCTGACCCTCCCATCTCCCCCCTTCCCCTGAACATCCCCCTTTTATCTGACCCCTCACCTCAACATCCCCCCCACCTGAACCCCCACCTGAACCCCCCAGCTGAACCCCCACCTGAACCCCCCTCCCTCTGTCCCTCTCCCTCCCTGTGCCCCCTCACCTGAGTCCATCTCCCCTCCAGCAGCCCCTTCCACACCTGTCCTCTCCCCCTGTCCTCCTCACCAGAGTCCGTCCCCCTGTCCCCTCCTCCCGTGTCCCTCCTCCCCTTAATCCATCTCCCCTCCCCTAACCCGTATCCCCCTCCCCTGTCCCCTGCCCCTCTCCCCCTGTCCTCCCCTCACCTTAATCCATCTCCCCTCCAGCAGCCCCTCCTCCCCTGTCCGTCCTCCTTCCCCCGTCCCCCTCACTTCTGAGTCCCTCTTCTCCCTCGAGCAGCCCCTCCCCTCCCCTCCCTGTCCCCCTCCCCTGAATCCATCCCCTCCCCACACCTCTCCCCTCTCCCCTGCCTCTCTCCCCCTGTCCAGCCTCCCTGTCCCTCCTCTCCCCTGTCCCCCTCTACCTGAGCCCCTCTTCCCCTCGGAGCAGCCCCCTCCCTCCCCTGTCCTCTCCCTTCCCGGTCCCCTCCCCCTCCCTGTCCCCTCCTCCGTCCCCTGTCCCTCTCACCTGAGTCCTCTCCCCCTCCCTCCCCAGTCCCCTGTCCCTCCCTCCCCTGTCCCCCTCACCTGAGTCCGTCCCCCCTCCCTCACCTGGTCCCCCCTCTCCCGTCCTCCTCCTCTCCCCTGTCCCCCTCACCTGAGCCCCTCTCCCCCCTCCTGCAGCCCCCTCCCCACACCTGTTCCACTCCCTCCCTCCTGTCCTCCTCACCAGAGTCACAGTCCCCCGTCCCCTCCCCTCCCGTGTCCCCCCTCACCTTAATCCATCTTCCCCCTCGCAGCAGCTCCCCTCCTCCCTCCCCCTGTCCTCTCCCCTAACCCCGTATCCCCCCTCCGCTGTCCCCTGCCCCTCTCCCTGTCCCCCCTCACCTGAGCCCCTCTCCCCCTCTCGCCCCCTCCCCCCGTCCCCTCACCTGAGCCTGTCCCCCCCCTCGAGCAGCCCCCTCCCCATCCTGTCCCTGGCCTCTACCCCCTGAAGCCTGTTCGCCCCCCCTCGAGCAGCCCCCTCCCCACCTGTCCCTCTCACCTGAGCCCCTGATCCCCCTCGAGGAGGGCTCTGTAGGTCCGGATCTCCCCCTCGAGCAGCCCCTGTCCCCCATCCCCCTCACCTGAGCCCCTGATCCCCCTCGAGGAGGTGCTCTGTAGGTCCGGATCTCCCCCTCGAGCCGCTCTTTGGCCCCGAGCAGCTCCCGCAGCCGCTCGTGCAGCTCCCGCAGCTCCGCCCGCACCTCCCGCAGCTCCGCCTCGGCCGCGCCCACCTGGGCACCCACCTGGCACAGGTGAGACCCTGCCCGGGCATCGGCATCGGCCAGGGCGGCCTCCAGGGACGAGAGCTGGGGTTACGGGGGGGTTACACACCCAAAAACAGGGGTTTCACCCCAAACCTCGGCCTCGGGCAGTGCCACTTCCAGGGACGAGATCTGGGGAAATGGGGGGGTCACACACCCAAAAACGGGGGTTAGAGACCCAAAACCAGGGGATTTCATCCCAAACCTCAGCCTCGGGCAGTGCAGCCTCCAGGGATGAGATCTGGGGAAATGGGGGGGTCACACACCCAAAAAGGGGGATTTTACCCCAAACCTCGGCCTCGGGCAGTGCAGCCTCCAGGGATGAGAGCTGGGGAAATGGGGGGGTTAGACACCCAAAAATGGGGGATTTCACCCCAAAAATGGGGGTTAGAGGCCCAAAAGTGGGGGATTTCACCCCAAACCTCGGCCTCGGGCAGTGCCACTTCCAGGGACGAGATCTGGGGAAATGGGGGGGTCACACACCCAAAAACGGGGGTTAGAGACCCAAAACCAGGGGATTTCATCCCAAACCTCAGCCTCGGGCAGTGCAGCCTCCAGGGATGAGATCTGGGGAAATGGGGGGGTCACACACCCAAAAATGGGGGATTTTACCCCAAACCTCGGCCTCGGGCAGTGCAGCCTCCAGGGATGAGAGCTGGGGAAATGGGGGGGTTAGACACCCAAAAATGGGGGATTTCACCCCAAAAATGGGGGTTAGAGGCCCAAAAGTGGGGGATTTCACCCCAAACCTCGGCCTCGGGCAGTGCCACTTCCAGAGACGAGATCTGGGGGATTTACAGGGGTCACACACCCAAAAATGGAGGTTAGAGCCCTAAAAAGGGGGGATTGCACCCCAAAACTCAGCCTCGGCCACGCCCACCTCCAGGGCCGAGATCTGAGAGGTTATGTGGGGGTTAGAGACCCAAAAATGGGGGATTTCACCCCAAACCTCGGCCTCAGCCAGAGCAGCCTCCAGGGACGAGATCTGAGGGGTTACAGGGGGGTTACACACCCAAAAATGGGGGTTAGAGACCCAAAAATGGGGGTTAGACACCCCAAAAACGGGGGATTTCACCCCAAACCTCAACCTCGGCCAGAGCAGCCTCCAGGGACGAGATCTAGGGGGTTATGTGGGAGTTAGACACCCAAAAATGGGGGTTAGAGACCCAAAAATGGGGAATTTCACCCCAAAACTCAGCCTCGGCCACGCCCACCTCCAGGGCCGAGATCTGGGGAAATTGGGGGGGTTAGAGACCCAAAAATGGGGGGTTAGAGACCCAAAAATGGGGGTTAGAGACCCAAAAATGGGGAATTTCACCCCAAAACTCAGCCTCGGCCACACCCACCTCCAGGGCCAAGATCTGAGCGGTTATGGGGGGGTTCAGACACCCAAAAATGGGGGGTCAGACACCCAAAAATGGGGGGTCAGACACCCAAAAAGGGAGGAATTCACCCCAAACCTCCAGTCCTGACACTCCCCAAAAACGAAGGGGATACGGGGACTCAGGACCCCAAAAATGAGGGGTATTTTGGGCTGGTTTTTGGGTATTTCAGGCTGGGTTTGGGGTGTTTTGGCTCCCTGATGCCTGAGGCTGCCCAGCCCCACCCATGAACTGGGGGGTTAGGGTTTTTTGGGGTATTTCAGGCTGGTTTTGGGGTATTTTGGGGGTATTTCACGCTGGTTTTGGGGTGGTTTTGGGTGTTTTGGGTCCTTGGTGCCTGAGGCTGTCCAACCCCACCCATGAATTGGGGGGGTTAATTTTTTGGGGGGTATTTTGGTGTCATTTGGGGGTATTTCGTGGGTGTTTCAGGCTGTTTTGGGGGTATTTTGAGGGTATTTCATGCTGGTTTTGGAGTGTTTTGGTACCTGGTGCCTGAGGATCTCCAGCCCCACCCATGAACTGGAGATTTATTTTTTGGGGGGTATTTTGTGCTGGTTTTGGGGTGATTTTGGTACCTGGTGCCTGAGGGTGTCCAGCCCCACCCATGAACTGGGGGGGTTCATGTTTTTTGGGGTATTTTGGTGTAGTTTTGGGGTATTTTGTGCTGGTTTTGAGCTGTTTTGGGTGTATTTCATGCTGTTTTTGGGGTGATTTTGGTACCTGGTGCCTGAGGGTGTCCAGCCCCACCCATGAACTGGAGGGTTTATGCTTTTTGGGGGTATTTTGGTTTGATTTTGGGGTATTTTGGGCTGGTTTTGAGCTGATTTGGGGGTATTTCAGACTGGTTTTTGGGGTGTTTTGTGTCCCTGGTGCCTGAGGGTGTCCAGCCCCACCCATGAATTGGAGGTTTATGGTTTTTTTGGCGTATTTTGGTGTGGTTTTTGGGTATTTTGGGCTGGTTTTGAGCTGTTTTGGGTGTATTTCATGCTGTTTTTGGGGTGATTTTGGTACCTGGTGCCTGAGGGCGTCCAGCCCCACCCATGAACTGGGGGGGTTCATGTTTTTTGGGGTATTTTGGTGTGGTTTTGGGGTATTTTGGGGGTATTTCACGCTGTTTTGGGCCTGTTTTGGGGGGTATTTGAGGCTGTTTTTTGGGATGTTTTGGTACCTGGTGCCTGAGGATCTCCAGCCCCACCCATGAAGGTTTATGGTTTTTTGGGGTATTTTGGTGTAGTTTGGGGGTATTTGGGGGGTATTTCAAGCTGTTTGGGGGTGATTTTGGGGGTATTTCAGGCTGTTTTTTGGGATGTTTTGTGTGTCTGGTGTCTAAGGGTGTCCAGCCCCACCTATGAACTGGAGGGTTTATGGTTTTTTTGGGGTATTTTGGTGTGGTTTTGGGGTATTTTGGGCCATTTTTGAGCTGGTTTTGGGGTATTTGGGTTTTTTTCAGGCTGATTTTGGGGTGTTTTGGGTCCCTGGTGCTGGAGGGTGTCCAGCCCCACCCATGAATTGGGGGTTTATGGTTTTTTTGGGGTATTTTGGTGTAGTTTTGGGGTATTTTGGGGGTATTTCAGGCTGTTTTTTGGGGTGTTTTGGGTCCCTGGTGCCTGAGGGTGCCCAACCCCACCCACGAACTGGAGATTTATGGTTTTTTGGGGTATTTTGGTGTAGTTTGGGGGTATTTGGGGGGTATTTCATGCTGTTTTTTGGAGTGTTTTGGGTCCCTGGTGCCTGAGGGTGTCCAGCCCCCCCCATGAATTGAAGGTTTATGGGTTTTTTGGGGTATTTTGGTGTAGTTTTGGGGTATTTTGGGGGTATTTCATGCTCTTTTTGGGGTGTTTTGGTACCTGGTGCCTGAGGGTGCCCAGCCCCACCCATGAACTGGAGGGTTTATGGTTTTTTGGGGTATTTTGGTGTGGTTTTGGGGTGATTTTGGGTGTATTTCACACTGTTTTGGGGGTATTTGGGGCTGTTTTTGGGGTGATTTTGGGGTGTTTGGTGTACCTAGTGCCAGAGGGTGTCCAGCCCCACCCATGAACTGGAGATTTATGGTTTTTTGGGGTATTTTGGTGTGGTTTTTGGGTATTTTGTGCTGGTTTTGAGCTGGTTTGGGGGTATTTCATGCTGTTTTTGGGGTGATTTGGGGGTGTTTGGTACCTGGTGCCTGAGGGTGTCCAGCCCCACCCATGAACTGGAGATTTATGTTTTTTGGGGGGTATTTTGGTGTGGTTTTTGGGTATTTTGTGCTGGTTTTGAGCTGTTTTGGGTGTATTTCGTGCTGGTTTTGGGGTGTTTTGGGTACCTGGTGCCTGAGGCTGTCCAGCCCCACCCAAGAACTGGAGGTTTATGTTTTTTGGGGGTATTTCACGCTGTTTTAGGGCTGTTTTGGGGGGTATTTGGGGCTGTTTTTGGGGTGGTTTTGGTACCTGGTGCCTGAGGGTGTGGAGCTCGAGCTGCAGCCCCTGCAGGGAGCGGTTCAGGGTCAGGGCCGTGCCCCGGGCTCTGTCCAGGGCCTGAGAGCTGCGGGACACCCGAGCAGCGGCCTCGGACACCTGGGGGGACACGGGTGGTTGGGGGGACAGTTTGGGGGGACAGTTTGGGGGGTCAGGGATGGTTTTGGGGGACAGGGTGGTTTGAGGGGTCAGGGACACCTGGGGGGACAGTTTGGGGTCAGTGGACACCTGGAGGTCAGTTTGGGGGGTCAGGGATGGTTTGGGGGTCAGGGACACCTGGGGGGACAGGAGTGGTTTGGGGGACAGTTTGGGGGGACAGGGGTGGTTTGGGGGGTCAGGGACACCTGGGGGGTCAGTTTGGGGGTCAGGGATGGTTTGGGGGTCAGGACACCTGGGGGACAGGATGGTTTGGGGGACAGGGATGGTTTGGGGGTCAGGGACACCTGAAGTCAGTTTGGGGAGACAGGATGGTTTGGGGGTCAGGACACCTGGGGGGACAGGAGTGGTTTGGGGGACAGTTTGGGGGACAGGGGGTGGTTTGGGGGACAGGGACACCTGGGGGACAGGGATGGTTTGGGGGACAGGGATGGTTTGAGGGCTCAGGACACCTGGGGGGTCAGTTTGGGGGACAGGGATTGTTTGGGGGCTCAGGGCACACCTGGGGGGACAGGGAGTGGTTTGGGGGGGACAGGGACAGGCTGGGGAGGTTCAGGGATGGTTTGGGGGGACAGGGACAGTTTGGGGGACAGGAAGAGGTTGGGGGACAGGGACAGGTTGGGGGTCAGGGGACACCTGGGGGACAGAGACACCTGGGGGACAGGGACAGTTTGAGGGGACAGGGATGGTTTGAGGGGACAGTTTGGGGGACAGGAACAGGTTGGGGACAGGGACAGTTTGGGGGGACAGGAAGAGGTTGGGGGACAGGGACAGGTTGGGGGGGTCAGGGGACACCTGGGGGACAGAGACACCTGGGGGGACAAGGGACAGTTTGGGGGACAGGGATGGTTTGAGGGGGACAGTTGGGGGACAGGGACAGGTTGGGGGCTCAGGAATGGGTTTGGGGGCTCAGGGACAGTTTGGGGGGACAGGGGAGAGGGATGGGGGATCAGGGACACCCGGGGGACAGGGTTGGTTTTGGGGGACAGGGACAGTTGGGGAGACTCGAGGGACACCTGGGGGACAGGGATGGTTTTGGGGGACAGGGACAGGCTGGGGAGGTTCAGGGATGGTTTGGGGGACAGGGACAGTTTGGGAGGACAGGGGATGGTTTGAGGGACAGTTTCGGGGACAGGGAGAGGATGGGGGGACAGAGACACCTGGGGGACAGGGTCAGGTTGGGGGACAG